TAGTGATCCCGCCAATGGTTCACCAACCTTGGTATCCTGTTCCCAATAGTAAGCAGTAGAAGATATCTGAGGAATAGACTATAAGAACAGGGTAATTCTAGAGTGGTTACTTTTCACATATCCTCCCTTTAGTGATTTATTGAGGTGGAAGTGGCACCCATATGATCACATTTAATAGCTATTGATGGGCCTTTATGTAAAATTTTTTTTAATTATTTTATACCCATTTGTAATTGGCAAAGGATGAGAAAGTGTGAATGAAGTGCTTCCTCTGGTTTGTTTTACAGTTGCATCCTGATAATTTGTTTTGGTGCCTGTATTTCTCCTGTTAAGAAATGGAGTTAAATAATAGTTTTCTCTAAATAAGCATTTGTTTTCATGATTTTAGTAATTTTGTGCATCTTACTGTATCTTCTGTCTGACATGCTATTCTCAATTGAAGAGTTTTAATCTTGTTTAATTTCCTCTTGCACAAAAGCTGTTCCTTATTCTGATCATCTTTGTTCCCCTTTTTTGCGCTTTTCCTATTTCTCTGCATGACCAGAGGTTTATAGAGAGTTCAGGATAGAAGCATTAAGGATAGGAGCATGCCACAGATGTATGTAAGTGTCAGACGATGTTTTCTGTTTTGTTTTCTAGTGCTTTCATAATAATTCTTATCATTCTGTTTCCTGTTCTGAGAATTAATGCACATTGAGATGACTTTCTCAGAGAACTACATGTAGTAATGCCAAGATCTCTTCACTATGTGAAGACAGCTGATTTAAAACCCATCATTGTGTATCTGCAGTTAGGGCCGTTTTCTGCTGTGTGTGCTACACTGCATTTATTGTCATTGAATTTCTTGTGTCACTTTGTCTCCATTCCCTCCTTGTTCTACTATCTTTTTGGAACCCTTTGCAACACACTCTTGAATTTGATTACTCTGAGCATTTTGTATCCTCAGCAGACTTAGTCACTTCACAGTTCACATTTTTATTAGCATATATTATTGTGAAACACTGCTGGTCAGTCATGTCCTTGTGAAAACTGATGATTTACCTGTAGCTTTTGGGTTTTATCTTTAAATTAATTTTTAGACAGTAAGAGGACTTTCCTTCTTATCCTGTGGAAGCTCAGGTTTTTTAGAGTTCTCCAGCTCTTCTAATTCTTCCTCCCTGAAATTCTTTATCAAATTGGTATCGTATTTGTCACCATCCAATCTTCTGATACCATGTCTATTTAGAAATAGGTTGTGTACCTCGGTCAGTTCTTCAAGAATTTCCTATTTTACTTCCTTTAAAACTTTTTGGTGTTTATCATCTGGTACTGCTTATTTGTATTCATTTTTTAATTTATTCTAAAGACTCTTTCACTGATACTTTAATTTGAGAAAGTATATCAAATTATTATGGCAGATTCGGCTCTATATAAAATGGAGTTATGATCGCTTTATAAAATGGGGTTGCAACAGAGCATGATTACTATCGTATTTACTGTTATACACCTCCTGTTGTCCACTGAGACTTAAAATCCTTTCGTATAAAGATAATTCTTCAGTAGGACAGGAGATAACCTATCCTTATTGGGTGATCGTTTTGGTTAGAGCCACCTCCTAGGACTTATGGGCTGAGTCATCCAGGCCAGAGCCTGGAATCTAGGTCCAGAAACGCTTTAGCGACAAGGTTGTTATGTAAAATGGGAATACTGATAAAGACCTGAGCCCCTTCTCTGAAAGAATGGATGGTGCTTACCCTCAGGAGGAATTCTGGGATATGGACCTTCATAGGAAGGGAACGTCTGCTTGCAGCCCTGAATGAGGTGTCTAAATTACAAAGAATGAAGATAGATAAGACAATTCTCTGCAGCAATTGGCTTATTTTAAGTTGCTCAGTGCTTGGTTTTTTTAAACCTAAAATACCTGATTTTCCTCATGTCCTGGGTATAGAGCTTAGGCAGCTAATGCAAGGTTTTGTAATCTACTGGAGTAACAGGTACCTGTGTTCTTTTTTTCTATTTGTTCCAAAGTTCTTTACAATACGTGCAATATCTGCCATAGCTTCTTAATATCTTGAAAATAGGGATTTTGTTCTATGTAATTTGGCACAAAGTAGAAGGAATTCATACGTTGATGAATTTGGTAAACATAATGTTTACTTATGAATACATTTGTAACTTGTATTAGAAAATGCGAATTTGTTTTATTGTTCAGTACAGCAGTAAATATATTAATATTATTTTCTAACAGGAGTATGATTTATTTTCCCAAGAAAGGTATTAAATAACAATGTTGCATGAAATCTTTAATTATGAAAAATGGTCCAGGATCATCTTCAGTATTTCAAAGAATTCCCCTTTACAGCCTGACAAGACTGACTCCAGAGCTAATCAGACTATGGTCCCAGCAACCTCTACTATTACTTAAAATTAAAAAATGTATAGTTAAAAGTTACACAGTGGTATTTAATTACTCCTACGTATCTGCAGATTCAGGGTATTTTAATCTACACGCAAATAAGTCTTGCAAATGCATTACTGTATTTTCATAAAGTAACATTAGTAATCAGTCTTCTTAAAATATTCTGCATATTTTGAATATTAAGTGTATTTTTATATACAGGAAGGAAACATTAAATACATTTTTCATACATTTTTGCAGGTATCTTGGAATTTTGGAAAAAACAATTTGGCCTTGATTCTGCAAATCTGTAATAATTTGGATTGTTTTTTTAAACTCATACCAGCAGTTCCGTTGATATCATTGAACTTCTTTAGTGTGTAAGGATTACTTGTGGGACAACATATATTGAGAATCAGGCCAATTGTTTGAATTTGTCCTCATTAACGTGATGAAACATTGGCAGTAAAAGCTACATTATCGGTGATACTCCTATCTGTTTTTTTCCTTTTCTAGATAAAGAAATATGGCCTTTGAATAGGATTTATAGTTTGAAACAGAAAACGCTTTTAGACCCTGGTAGAATATTCTTAATATTTTTGTTTATTTCTTTTGATTTAATTTAGTCTCTGTGATAAAAACGGACTCCGACCGGCATATTTTTTCAATCCTGTTCCTTTCAGTAGGATTGCATGTAGTATAGAAAGGACAGAAGATTCTCTTAAGGAAGGAAGATTTCCTTTTGTGAAAGAAGTCATTTTATTAAATCATCCCCTTTTGATTTTAACTGTTTTTTAGTGACTCAGTTATTATTTAAAATAAATTTCAATATAACCAAGATAACCTGTACTTCGGTAATCAACCCACTCCACACTTGCATTCACAGTCACTCTTTCTTCACTTCTTAGCCAGAGGTGAAACAAAATTCAATATTACTTCCTTACTTTTGCAAAGGCTTTATGTGTATTGCTTCTGAGCACAACATTTAAGCCTGTATTTGACTCAAGATTTGTCTTATATCTGTATAGTTTGAGTGAACTCTGGAGATGGTATGCGTTCATTTTTCTGGATAATGTTTCAAATGATATTCCACGTACTGATATAATGACAGTCGGTTTTTATTTTGTGTGTTATTGTATGAAATGTTAAATAACTAATACAGAAATACAGTTCTGTGAGTCCTTGGTATGTTTTCACTCTGACATCTTACTATTGATGTACATATCTTAATAAGTGCTAAACTGAATGATCATGTATGTTAAAAAATGTTTTTCTGTTCAGTGACATATTAGGGAATAAAATTAGAAATTTATATATTTTTTGCATTGGCCAATTACCATGTAAAGTTTAAACTGATGTATTGGTGTCAGCCGTTGATACATTATTGTGCAGTTACGAAGGTAAGTACGTTACAGGCATAAAGTTTTGCTTATACAATATTTGCTTTAGGAAGAAAGTGGGAATTTACTGAGCGTGTTTCTTTCAGATGGTTTCTTTTTCATTCTTACAACTTCACCTTTCAAGTGTCGGGGTTCATATCAGATATTTAATTTTATATTTCCCATATATGGTAGAGTACTTTGGTTCTCCAAATGCTTAGGGATGTGGGAATTTTTTGTCTGTAAATAATCGTGCTGTCTTATATAAAATTCTGCATATGCCCTTTGTCTTTGAGACTTAAATGTATCTTACATTTTCAGACGGTTATAATATAATGCATATTTGCTTATGTAGCAAAGGCATTAAAAATGCTTTTATTGTATTTTCCCTCATTTTGTTTTAGTGAGCTTCTAAGCTGAAAAACAGAAAATGTTAGCATTCTACTGGCAGAAATACTGTTTCACGCTTGGTCATAAAAATGGCAGGAGAGGAGCTGTTGGAAGGAGCTTGGCAAATACTCTTTCAGTCTCTTACTTCTGTAGTCTCAGATAGCTTTATCTGAGATTATCTGTCATGTCATGACAAAACCTTTTTGGAATGCTATGCTGCCACAATCATTTACTTTTTCAAAATGATGCTTAGTGACAGCAATATATTTTAGAATCATTGACTGCAAGAGATGAACTATTGGGATAGCTTTTATATTTTTTCTACCATAATATTACAAGACCATCTTTAATGCTTTGTGATTAAAGATTTATAGATACGTTTACCAAATATGCTAGCTATGTTAAAAAGAACTCTGAGGTAGAAACTACAAAAACCCTCTTAATAGGTAATTCAAAGCTGAATTTTAAAGTTCTATTTTTAATCTACAAAGGTTTTTTTCAAATCTTATTGTCTCAAACAGGTTTAGGAGAGGGGTTTGAACAAGTGATCTCTTAACACAGATGAAATTAAACTGCTGATAGTCCGTGAAAAATCTCCAGTTTTGGAACTCAACCGTGTCTTCTCCTTCACAGCTTGAATTTACACACTTCTAAGCAAAGCCATCTTTTAATTTTCTTTGTTAAGGATGTTAATGACATTCACATATAAAAGGTGTGGATTAAAGTCCTAAGAGATAAATCTTTAATTTGAAAATAGTTCTATTTTTTAGGATAAATGAAAGTATATTGTTTACTGCAGCGGTGATTGTTACTGAACAGTTTTTAATATCATGTAATTCTATTTTCCAACATAGATTTTTCGTTATGTGAATTTAGTTGATCTGGCAAGATGTGCTCAAGTTAGCCAAACCTGGATGCTGCTAACTCAGAACAGTTCATTATGGAGTGATGTAAGTAACATAATTACTCCCAATATTTTATTTTAATTGTGTTCATTAGAAAAGAGTGAAACAAGGAGGCAGTATTTCAAGTATGCTGAGGATCTAGGACAAACTTTTTATCCCAGTTTGACCTGTTCTACTCAATTACTTAAATAAAAGTAGCAGCAATTCAAATGAAGTTGTCTGTGGTACATCATTATAAAATCAGAGTAACTGTAAAGAGAATCAATTATCAGGACTTGGCTATAGCCTGCTAAATTTAGATAAGTATCTCAGGCTCCCTCTATAGTCTAAAAGGCACTGTGTGACTAATGTGGAGGGAGAATGTGAACTCAGTTACAGATATGCGGAGCATATTTCTGTTTGCTCTGGAGAGAGTCCTGTGGTCCCTGGAACAAGTGGTGCAGACCAGCTCACTTCCATACTCATGAAGTCTTAAGAGTTGTTGGTGTGGTCGTTTCGTCTCTAGACCACTATCAGTGTCCACATCATTGCATTGTTTCTTGTGCCCTAACAACCCAAGGGCCCCCGGCACACACGTTTCTCTCAACTTCCCTGTCTCATACACGTTATGTGACCGCACCATTGTGGTCTGCTTGAAGGGCTCCACCTGACATAGCCAGACTGGCTGTGATACCTTGACCAGCAGTACTTTTGCTTTTATGTCATTGCCTCACATGTAGCCATTTGTCAGCAGCACAAGGAAACACTAAGGTCAGATTTTTAAGAGTATGTGGGCACATCAAGCAGGATTTGGTCAGATTTTAGACCCTGAGGTCTAAAATTATGATCCAAAAACCCTGTGCATCTTCTGCATAACTCTGGAGATGTCTAGTTTGTTAGACATCTCATTTTTTGACCTAAAAGTTCTTCTTTGACTGAGGGAGGTTTATTCTCTTTTCTCCAATAACTGCCCGACCTCTGAAGCTTGCTGTGAAATTTGCAAGGGAAGGTGAGCCGTGAGCAAGGGGTAACACAAGCGCAGGCAGGGGCAGTGTCACACGGACGAGGGGCACAGTGCTACAGAACCCAGACAAGTAGAGCAGAGCAGGTCCAGTGGGAGTAACCAGGATCAGCCACCCACCAGCAATTGCCAGACAAGTCCGTAGTGACAACGCAGCTCCAAAGTCAAGCCAGGAAGTGAAATCCACGAGTCAGGGTGAGTGAGAGTCAGAATCCACTACGCACATGGGCAGGCGCAGGCATGCCTAAAGCATAGCTCAGGCGAGGACCAAGGGCAAGAGCCTGAGTTTAAATGCAGCTTTGGAGGCAAGGAGGAAGCCATAATGAGGCTTCTTGCAGCAGTCTTGTCCGGGGTTACACTGCTACACCATATTGGAGCTGATCTTGAACTGAGGTAGCTAAAACCCTGCAGGGAGGAAGATCCTGTCAGTGTACTTGGGGCCCTGATGGCAGGCACCTCTCTTTCACTTGATATCCATTTGGGATCCAGAAAGTGAACAAAAGTCATGCCCTTTGAGAATAAGAAGAGCTCTAAACTTGGCTCTACTACGCTATTCTGTCCTCTGAGCGGGACACTAGGCTCTAGTTCCCAAGTAGCTCAGGCATATATGTGCATTTCTAACTGAGGTAAAGAAGCTCCAGAGCACTCCACGCTTCTGCTTACCTTTTCCTATTAGCTGGTTCTAGGCAGATGCCTGTTCTCTGCGTGAGTTTTTTCAAATTGACCTTCTGATGTGCTTAGCTGTTATGTATACTTCGTAGGGTCTCACTGTTCCAATTTGAGCTGTTGAATCTACCAGCTCAAATCTACCAGCTGTTGAATCACCGGCATCTAAAAATCACAGTGCTCAACTTGTAGATGGCTAAAGTCTTCATTTGGTCTTGTCTTAAGTTACTGTAAAGAATTCATGATCTCAATGAAGCTAATGTTAAAACTTCCAATAATTTTAACTTGAGAAGAACAAAATCCAAATAAGAAAGTGGAAAAACTGGAAAAAGTCCTGAACTCCTAACTTTCTGCCACAGTAACCACTACCAAAAATTCTGAATGAATAATCAGGATTGATTTTTCTAACTATTTCGGTAATAAATGTATGTTATAAAATAAAAAAAAACAGATGCGATGTAGCTGTAACAAGTTCTACAGAAGTAAAATAAGTATCTGTGCTCTTTATGGCTTTTTTATCGACAAAGAAGGCAAGAAAAAGTCTTCCTCGAAAAAAGAGAGATTTTTAATATTTCTTATTAAAATTTTATATTTTAGCTTTTCTGCTCTTTTTGAAACACTTAGTAGTCAAAGTTAAAACCAGCTAAAACTGTTTTCTAGTACTTTTGTTAAAAACTCTTAACCTTGAGCTTTTGATAGACATTAGAGAAAAAAAATTTTAAGCAGAGATCAGATATCTGCAGTCTGCAGCTTAAATCAGTTTTTAAAATCTTCTAGTAAAACTAAGATGATAGACTACATGTTCTTGACGTCTTGATATATCAGTAGAGTGTTAATTAGAAAAAAAAGCTTTAACATCTTTAGAGTTTTATACATCTTAAAGGAAACAAGTAAAATAAAAATTCAAGTCTGACAATTTTCTTTGCAGAAGCTATTTCTGACTAGCTATATTTATGGGCAGTGAAAACTAGCCTCAGTTCCATAAAGACTGGCACATGCTTCCTCTGTGTATGAGTATTGTTAGTCAGCCCTGCAGGATTTTTATATATGTAAAGAAAAGATGTTTCTGTGTTTTCTAGACTTCTATGATTCAGTGTTTAGATGGAACTTCTTATTTTAATAGTGATTTTCATAATGGTATGTATTTTGTATGTACTGCTTATTAATACCTGACTTACTTATACATTAATTGCTTAATTTTTAGATCAATTTTTCATCAGTAAAGCATAAAGTTCAGGACAAAATAGTAGTAAATATTTTGCAGAAGTGGCGTCCATATGTATTACGTTTGAATCTTCGAGGTTGCTATTCTCTTCACTGGCCTAGCTTTAAAAGTATCAGTAAGTATTATATATATATTTTTTTAATTTTAATTCTCTCTATAGATTGTCTTCACTGTATCCTTAGCTATTGTTCCATCTTGATTCCTATATTCTTCTCTATAGGTCCAGATATAATGAAGCAATGTGAATATGGGATCTCTTAAATCACTTCAAATGCCTTCCCCTGTCTTTCATTGCAGTCTTTAGGCCCGGCGCTATCCATATGACTGAACATTGCTAGAATCCCACAAAATAGCTTATGTTATGTATGAAATGCTATGATTATATTATGGCAAATGAGATTGGAATGTGAACATATGCTTAAATGTATCAGAATGCCAAAATCCAACTATGCTGAGATAATTATTCCAAAACTGAGATGTAAAATGTTATGATACAGCACGAAAACTTAAAGTCAAGGTCACAAAATGCGGTTCCTGGGAAGTCTTGATTCCCCAAAGAAATTACTTTCTTTTGGAAAAAAAGAAATGAAAAACAGATTCATGAAGATCTGTACTATCCAATTATAAACACTTAGGACATTATAGAATAATTGGGAAGATGCTTGCCTGCCAGTCATTCAAAATAAATAAGGAACTTGCATGATACCTGTTTAACTAATACTTTATTTGGAAATAAAATAAGCTTTTGCAGAATAGGGACTCGCTTAATAGATCTGTTATGTGTGAATTTGTCTACACTGTAGTGTTGCCAACTTTGAAAGACAAATATCTCAAACATAATTTTCAAGAAACTAGTTTGGATCATTTTGGTCCATCCTTATTTTTTTCAGTTCCTCCTACTCTATTAACAGAATATCATAATTCTGGCCCATTTTACAAGAACTCTTGGTGGAGGGCACTGTTGAAGTTGTACACAGTGGGAGTTCCTACTTTGAACAATTTCAGTTAGCGATAATAACTTCCGAAAGTCTTTTGGGGAGCTCACTGTGTAACATTCAAGGTATACTATGCTTTTGACGGTTTAGGATCTAGTCAAATTTTATCTGCTCTGGATCTTTAGAAGTACTTCTCTAAGGTAAAATTAACTGAGAATCCCAGGGCAGTCCAAATGTAGCGTTCAAATTTTGGCACTAAGTGCAAGAAGTGCTTGATGTTACTGCCAAGGCAAAGTCCCTCTGGATATAGGGAAAGCATCACAGTCCTTCCTGACAGTATATGTGGAAATACATGTGACCATGTGATCAGAGGTTAATTCCCTCCATGACAGCATTTTGCAATCGTATCAGCTCAGTAATCTTTTTCCGATGCAGTTGAATAGCTCCACTGAGCACAGAACTGGGCAGAAAAAGTGAAAAACCCTTATGATCAGTGTTAACGGTTCAGTACTAGCTGTCAAAGTGCCCTTGATTCATTAGGAGTTATCTTCATCCTGACTGGTGTTCAGCCATTTTATCTTGCAGAGTGCTATAACATCTTGGTAGTGTTTTCACAAGAAAAATTTCTTCTGCTACAACTGGGCAAAATTCCAAGAAATATTTTTGATTTCTGGCACAGCTTTACTTCAGTATTTCTATAACAGGAAAATGTAACCCATTGACCTTTCTAGTCTACACTCTAACTGAATGCAAATGAGTTTGAAAGGTTTTAATTTCCAAATGAAAAGTGTATTTTGATGTTTGGAGATTTTAATGCATTTATTATTTAGTCAGATAATGCACAGTTGAAATTGTTGATGCAGCATATAACAATTTCAGTGTATTTTCCTTTGTTTTAGAAAGTGATTGTGTAATTCTGGGTGAGAACAATTTGCTCTCTAGAGTGGTGAGGGAAAAGCACAATTGGCCAAGACTAAAAAGTATATTTGATCATGGTCTTGGCTTTTAAATCACAGGATAAAATGGCATTCTCAGTTATGTCAGCCTGCAAGTTATTTAGTAAAATAATTTAATTTAATATTATAATGAACTCTGGCAGATAATAAAGCAAGCAAGCCAAAATGAATCATACAAAGTCAAGTCATCTCCTTATGGGAACTGTACTTAGAAGTTTTAAGTTCTTTTATGATTTTGTTTTCCTTATATATTTGATTACAAAACTAAAACCATAGTAATGTATATTGTATAACATGACCTAAAATCATATACATTCTAATATTCGCTTTACTGTATTTCCTCTTTCCAGAGACGTTTTTGTTTACATTCTACAATAATATATCTTTATAATTTTGTACATAGTTTCTATTTTCTCTGGGAATGTTAGAAACATAGTTAATTGCTTCACTTAATTCTTTCAATACCTGTCAGTCCACTAAAAAAAATCAGATAAATCTTTCCTTTTAAATAAGTTTTCCATAAAAGAATAACAAAGCTTTTGTTACTGTTTTAGGACATAGTGCTATTGTGAATAAAAAATGCTAATGTGTGTTGGCATAAAATCTAAAATTACGCTACATTACATTTGTCGTGCTGTTTGTCTTTGATATATATGACTACAATATTAAGTGTGGAGGTATTGGATGAGATGTTTCCAATGATATTCTTCTACTGAGGAACCAGTGCTTCTAGCTTGTATGCTACAGTTCAAAGGATATCCTTTTAAAGGAGAATGTATGTTGCACCGATTTTTTAAATTAAAGGTTGGATAGATCCAGAAGATATTAAATGTTAATAGTGCTTTAAATAAGTCAACTGATATGTTGATGACTAGATGAAATCTCTTTGGAGCTGGTACATGTAATAGCTACACTTAATTTAGAATGAAAGTAAAGGAACAGCCATTTTTGGAATAATGTATCTTCAATAGTTTAACAGACTCCCTAAAACAGGCCTTATACAAGGCCAATTAATAGCTATATTATGTAAGTAGGGAAGTTTCAGTGGGGAGCAGAGGTATCAGCAGAGGTTGCTGGTTGCCATCCATTTCACAGAATCACAGAATGGTTGAGATTGGAAGGGACCTCTAGAGATCATCTAGTCCCATCCCCCTGCTCAATCAGGGTCCTCTAGAGCACATTGCACAGGATCGTGTCCAGGCAGGTTTTGAATATCTCCAGGGAAGGAGACTCCACTACCTCTCTGGGCAACCTGTGCCAGGGCTCTGTCACCCTCACAGGAAAGAAGTTTTTCCTCATGTTCAGATGGAACTTCCTGTGGTTCAGTTTGTACCCATTGCCTATCGTCCTTTCACTGGGCACCACTAAGAACAGTCTGGCCCCATCCTCTTGACACTCCCCCTTCAGATACTTATACACATTGATGAGATCAGGCCCAGCTCTCTCAGCTTTTCTTCATATGAGAGATGTTCCACTGCCCTAATTGTCCTTGTAGCCCTCCG